GTCCCCGGTGGTAATAATTCCTCTTATTTTTCCGCGTTAATTCACATCAGCCGACGTTTTCTACGGATTCGCGTTAGCCTGGCACGATGCGAGATACCGCGAAACGTGGGAAACCTCTCGCCCAGCTTTATTACGATGCTTTTGTAGTCACGCTCGTGGCATCGGCCAAAAGAAATTTTCTTCGAACAGTATTCACCGGCTTCTCTCTCTCTCTCTCTCTCTCTCTCTCTCTCTCCTCGTCCTCTACCCTGTCTGTATATCACTGCTCGCAGCCATAATTTTCTAACCACCTGTGTCTGTGTGTGTATATATGTGGAAGCGATCACGCTGGAATCCAGAGCGTCCGCTTTCTAAAAACCGTAAGTAATGCAAGGAGAGAGAGAGAGAGAGAGAGAGAGAGAGAGAGAAGATCGTTCGATCGATTAAATCTGTTAAGGTGGGAGATGAGCGTTTCTTCTTGCCGCGAATTTATTCTACCGTCGGTGTGATCAACGGGAGAAGACCGGACTTGGACTTTTACCGAGCTTGATAATCGATTAACAGAAATAAACAAGTATTACGGTGTGCGTATTGGACACAATACGAAGGGAGAGAACCAGGAGAGAAGGAATATAAACTATGCCTGTGATCTGCGGAATGCGTGTATGGCATAATATAAGCAATTACTTCGTTCATCGTTTTTAGATCGTGACTTCCGATACCGGGCCCGCGGAGGAACTTGATGCGTTTTTAACGAGAATCAAATGGTAGCGAGATAGCGTAATAATTAATTGTTCGGTTATCTCGAATTTTTATATTGTATTCTCTTCGAGTATGGTATCTTCTAATGGCTTGAATACGTTCGTAATTACATCGACGTTGTTTCTTTTTTCTTTTCTCCTCTGTATGAACTTTAACTTGGAATATATTCGTATCAAATGTTCTCGTATTAAACAGAGCTAGATACCGCAATACTTGACGAAGTTTTATGCTGTTCCTTGCTTTTTCTTTTTACAACTATCGCAAGGTTTGAAAATGTCGCTGAAAAGTTATCAATCGCTCTTCTCGAGGGGGTAACTTCATTCGCACACTCTCTTCGAACAAAGCTCGTTCGAATGTAAGCTTTTGAAAAACGGGGGTAGTACTCGAGGCAAGAAAATGGAAGGCTCTCTTTTTTTTAATCCATTGCCTCACGAACCACAAGCTCCGAACGAAACTCGAAGCTGGTACGGAAATAAAACGGAGGCTAAATGGCGTTGCATTACGCGGAGGACTTGCCTTCAATCATCCATCGACGCGCTGGAAACGTACCTTTTTTCCCCGGTTGTTGACGGAATGCGTGCGCGAAATATAATTCCTGGCTCGAGGCGGCACGTCTCGCGCGTATTATTACGTGTCCGGCATCGACGTGTCTAATTACCACATTCGATTCAATTTCGAAATTACGCTTCCATGAGAATCAAATAGGCAAGGAAAGGAAAAAAAAAAGAACGAACGATTTTTATCTATTGGATTGAGTCACAAGTAGCGTCGTTTCTTCTTTATTTTCTTTTCTTACGTTTTTTCACACCGCACCGCGACACGTACGACGTGCCGATCTATCCGAATACTAATTCATCGTTTACATAAGTATATCGGCTAGTCATATTTGTTTAATGCATTACTGGTTACTTCTGTGTGGTTAAGCGATTAGCGTCGATGAAAACGAGTGAATTTAAAAATAGTAACGCCGCGGTTCTGACGACGAATAATATTTGTAGCGTGTACACAACGCGTACTGAACGTTAGAAAATGTCAGCTAATGAAAAAATTTAAGAATGGAAGTTTGGGTCTCAATGATGAGAGTTCATACCAATGATAATATCATTGAGGTCATACTTCTCGAGTGACTCAACCTGTACGGTAAAATAAATAAATATTATTTTTGTTTTTTAATTAAAAACGTCTCTTGAGATTCGCAAAAAAACAAAAAAAAAATGAAATTACGTATGAGTCAACCTGTTACACTCCCAGTTGACGAGAGAAACAAAGGTAAAGAAGGGAGAGAAAGTGAGAATTAGAGTAAAATTGAAGTGCAGAATAATAATCGTGTCGCGAGTTCTCACCCTTCAGGGTGGCTCGCTCTCGTTTGCCGCGTCTACGACGCACGAGTGTCCATACAATTAATTATTGACCCGTTTTAATCGCGTTAGGTCTAATTAGTGGGGAGAGGGAGTCCGTCTCAAAGTTGTTAATTAAATTGGTTAATGCGATAAAGGAGTCCATAGCGGAGTTCTCTGCATTCCCTTTCTCTTCTCGCCTCTTTCGTTTCCCCCCCATCCATATCAGGTCTCTCTCTTGGCGTCTTTGTATGCCGCCCGCGCGGAACTGCATCGCGAACACAGTACAAGCCGGAGAGATACTCTCAGACCACTGCGATTATTTCAATTTCATAGTAAAGCTGCTTCGTAGACAACGGAAACCAAGTCTCTCTCTCCCTCTCTCTTCCTGATTGTAATTCCTCGTGTATGTATATACGAACCAAAGTTTTAGGACCACTTATTAAGTCGCATCGATATGGCATCTGCTGGCAACTTTTTTATGGATTCCTAATTAATGTTGCGGATGTTCAGTAGCAATTTACTTCATCAAGGCAAATTTGGCTGATGAAATATTCATTACGGAATTTTTAAATTTCTAACTTTTGTCCTTAGAAAATTAAGTAGTTTGCAGTAAATAGTGATCGCGAAGTTTTTAGGTAGCGGAGTAATTTTTGGTCTCAGACTTTTGGTTCCACCGGCGAAATTAAGTGGTTCGCAATAAATGGTGATCGCAAATTTTTGGTCTTACACTTTTGCTTCCACCAAGGAAATTCAAACTATCGAAATTTGCCAAAATTTGAAATTCAGCCAATTGAATTCAAATTTGAAGTTAAACCAATGAAATTAAAAATATAGAAAATTTCCTACAGTAGCAAAAATCTGCCACGTACTTAGAAAATTGAATTTTGGCCAGCTTTTCGAAAAATGGCATCACCGTACGCCGTACCGTAATCCCATTGAGAAGAAGAGGCTACTATAATAAGAATACCAATTGAACGGTTATCATACGTCGTGTAATTCCGTTAGGCGCGCGTGTTCTCTCTCGAGGCTTGGCGGGAAATTGCCGTGGAATTCCCAACCGTTTCAAAATCGTTCCCCTGGAGTAATTACTTTTAAAATAGAATCTCTGCTAATCGCTAACGGTTCACGTTTATAATTGCGAGCTCTCGTGTTTACGAAAACTCTGGTCGTGACTAATCCCCTCCCCCGCTTCACGTCCTATCTCCTAAGATTCTCGAATCGCTGTTGTTAATTTAACCGCGAATTTTAACGGCTATTAAAGTGTGCTGTTTTTCTTTTCCGGCTCTAATGTTCTGTGCATTTCATGTAATCCATTATGACGTGTATACGGTAAACCTGGATTTTCCTGATAAATTACATCGGTATATTTTATAGGAATGTGGGGGGGGGGGATATTATACGAGCGTCGGATACTACCGGCTGAAAAATTACGTCACCAGACTCTGGTAATTGCCAGAAAAAAATGCACAATTTTCTTGCTCTGTATAAAAAGATTCGCTATCACTCAGGACTGTTTGCTCATCTTCACCAATGTTCTCTACGTTAGTAAGCAATTTTATTCAGTTTCCATGGATTTCATTTTTTCTGACTCTTTTTATATCTCAATGATTTGTAACCCTTATCTAACCCCTTGCACTCCAGTAGCGTCGTTGCGGCGACGCGCATAATTACCCCGAAGAACTACAAAACGTTAAAATAAAAAAACAATTCTCTCAAAAGAATCGATCACCTCTACGAATAAAAAAACTACTCAATATAGTTAGTGTACGTACGCGTTGACGTAATGCAAATTTTCAGAGCGAGTCGCTTGTCCACGACTTAGCAGCAACAGCAGCCAGTAGTCTCCCTTTCACGCGACGCGAAATATTCGCTGGAGAAAAGAACAAGAAGAAAATTCGAGCCGATCGACGGCATCGAGTTGCAACCGGTCAATAGGCGCGCGTTGGTCGATATTACAAAACCGGCAACGATTATAACTGCGCCTGGTAAGTCGATAGTGGTGTGGTGATGGTGGCGGTATGACCAACGTTAATAAATATTCGCTCCCCTCTGCTTTTAACGTATTCGTAACGCTTCGTGTCGCGATAATCGAATCGAATCACCGTATATACATACGTATTACACATTTTTAAGTCGCGATATACACCGACCCAACAACTTCACGTGTTCATGCACCGTTCGTTCTTGCGTTTGGACGACACCTTTGTACCATCGCCCAGGAATAACCAGGACGATACTAGCGGTGGTGGATATAGCTTCAGCTTGCAAAGCAGCCGACCAGTCATTAATTATAATTAATATCGGTACCACCGATAATGGCAGGCAACGTTGCTACGTATATTGCTGGGACATAGATCGCCGGAGAACGCCTCTAACGTGTAAGTGCGCGCTATATACGTCCGTATAAATTTCCATCTTCCATCGAGAGATGATCGTCCGTGTAACAGAGCCACGTGTTTCATACTAGTGGTCAATTTGTAGGCTCGTCGTTCTCTTAGTCGTTAAAAGACGAGAGAAAAAAGAAAAGAAAACGAGAGAAAAATTAAGGATGAGATTGAACAACGAGAAGTGTGTGTATGTGTATGGGTTGGTGTGGAGTCGTTAAAAGGTACGCGAAAGACATCGACGACGTGGATTAAACGTTGCTCGTTATACGTGTCGTGGTTGTAAATCGTCGTTGTAAATCAATTGGCCAGACCTGAAAAAAAAATAGGATTAACTGATTTACATGAACGAGATTCGTCCGGTGAGCATCGATCATAATCAACGCTCTGGATAGAGCGTAATCTAGAATTCATTTTCGTTTCTCGCTGCGAGAGTTCGTTTGAATAAGCGTTGTATTTTTTCTTCTTCTTCGTCTCTTCTTTCTTTCTTTTTCTGTTGTTTCATTTTCTTCCTATGTCTGTTGGATATATACAGGCTAACCCATGCCAGCATCCGATAGTGATCCTGAGGGATGTTGCCTCGTCGGATATGGAGTCGTTGCTGCGTTTCATGTACCATGGAGAGGTTCACGTGGGTCAAGAACAGCTGGCGGCGTTCTTGAAGACAGCGCAGATGCTGCAGGTTCGAGGATTGGCGGATGTGAACAGCGGTGCAGCCACCGCCAAGATCCCACCGCCCTCGTCGTCTGGTGGCAACAACGGTAGTGCACCGGTAAGTACAGCTTTCGACACTTATCACGCAGCGGAGAAGTATGTCGGAGTCTCTCGAGTGAGAAGATTGAGGAAAATTAGGAGAGAGAGAGAGAGCAATGAGGAATCAGAATGGAAGCATTGTTCCGGTAAAATTCGAAGCTGAAAGCTCTGTTAGAGAAGTGTGAAAATTTAGTTTTGAGTAACTTCAAATTTGGATATCCTCAAACTTTCATTCGAATCGCTTCGAAATTCGATAATTAGTTAATTTGTCGACGATGCATGGGTCCCGACAGGCGACACCGCGTAATCCTTGGCAAGATAACGGCAGAGGAGACTTGAACGAGGGTGCTTTGAGTCCACCACCGGAGAAGAGACCTAGAAGCTACAGTCCACCGTTGGGTAACCACGTCGAACAGAAGACAGACCTTCAGGAATCGCTTTTGGGTCAGGCTCTGGAAGGAGGACCTACGATACACACGACACCCACAAATAATGTACAGGTAGGTAAAAAATGTTCAATGAGAAACTTGTTATTTCGAAGGAAATTTTTTACCAAGATCAAACGATAGAAGAAAGATTGTTGTTATTGGTTACAGGCGCAATCTACAGGCGAGGACTCGAATTCCATGTCAGACAACGAGGAGGAGATGTCCAATAACGACAGTATTCTGAACTCCGTGAAGACAGAACCGAGTGATATTCTAAACGATTCTATAGAACACCATCGTAACTCGTTTCCAACTGCGCTCTTGGGAATACCAGGTAATTTACTCGTAATCAATTACCACCTTTTCCATCGTGACAAATGCTACAGACCGATCTGACGATACTCTAATCGTTCCAAATGAAAATGGGGGCAAAGTAAGATAGAAAATTAACCCTTTGCGGTCATATGTCCAGTCTGATTTGAAATTGGATTTCGTTGCAGTCAGTTCTATGTCGAATTCTATCGAAACTAGCAAATTATTTTGATGGTGTCATACTTCGCAAAATTATTAAAAATAGCTCGTAGCTCGTAGACTAAGATGTGTAGAACACTCGGTACATAAAGTATTAATATAAATACATATATTAGTTAGATGCTGAAATATTAGATTAAAGGCAAACTACAAAAATAGTCAAATAAGCGCAGAGTAATTTGGACCTCAAAGGGTTAACGCATCGCGCAAGTTTCTGTTTAAAATTATCACAGCTCAGAAAGATAGACAATAGATGACGATGATCCTAATTGATAATTGCAGGACTGATACCAGGGCCATCCGGAATCCACGCGGCGAATCAGGATCCGAATTACGGTAAGTGATCAAAGCTAACGATTCGATTTCACAATTTATTACAATTTCGTAGCCCAGACTATAGTATCCTCCCGTCGATTCCCTCAAGACTCTGGTCTCTCGTTGTTGCGTTGAATGCATGGAACTCTCGTACCTCTCACAACCCTGCATCCCCTTGCCCAACTTTTTAACCCCTTTTTTGATGATTAAAAAAAAGAAAATAACGAAAGAATGATTTTTTAAAAAATACCAAAAACATGGCGAGCAACAAATGCGTTGTATATGTGTGTGTGTGTATATATATATATATATATACACACACATATTATTGTATCGTGGAGTCGCGTCTCCGACGGCTCTTCGAGTTCGTATTGAAATATACTATCGATTTTCCTCGGCAAAAGGCCTGTGGTAGAGAAACAGATCGTTAGGGTTGCCATGCGAAATGCCAAGCTCGATTCTTTTTCCAACTCGAATTCTTTCACGACCATCGTCGAGGCTGTAAACGAAACTAATTGGTCGGTCGATCGGTACGAATCGAGGTACGGATTCAATCGACTGTTAAAAAACTGTTTATGGAATAGAAAAAAAAGAGTGGGTGGAGGTACGGATAAATGGCAACGAAGAAGGACGAGTTACACACTCACGTTCATCCGACAGAAATAAATCAGGGAACAAAAAAACACACGCAAATTCGGGGAGGGAAATAGCGTGACTAGAACAAAAAACAAAAAAAAAAAAAAATGAACAGAACTGAAAACGAAGGGCTGTGGGAGGACAGAAAAAATTGTATAGTGTTTAAGGAATCGTACGAGGTTGGCTGAGGACTGACATTGGCTGGTGGTTCCAGGGCGATGGCAGCCCTCTGGAGGAGACGGTTCAAGCTCGAGTTCCGGTTGGTTGCCGGGCACGACCTCCACGAGGAACGACCACGCCGGGTCTGGAAGTTACCCGAGCGGAGTGCACAACTCGAAAGGTCAGGATCTGTCATCTTTGCTCCAGCAACATCATCATCACCATCACCTTCACGCCACCAGCCAAGCGTCGCAGCAACACGCGTTAAATGCCCTCAACTCCCTCAACAGCCTGAATACCGAGCAGCTCACCATGATGCATCAAAAGCTGCAGAACAATCTGCAGTCGTTGCAGCAACAGCAACAAACCACCGGTGGGAAAAACGAGTTGAATCTGATGCTACAATCGTGCGCCAAGGACAAGATTCAAGAGAGTATGGCGCTTTTTCATCAACAGACGCATCGTCGTTTTCACCAGCAACAGCACCATCAACCGGACAATTCCAGTCAAACTGGGAAACCAAAGTGTCCGGAATGCGGCAAGATCTACTCGAACAATTCCAACCTGAAACAGCACATCGTGAACGTGCACACCGTGCAAACGGAATACGTGTCCTGTCACGTGTGCAGCAAGCAATTCAAGACGAAACAATACCTCCAGATACACCTGCTATCGATGCACGGGATTCGGAAACGAAAGAGCTACCCGTTGTATCAGATGCAGGTGCAACAGCAACCGGTTGGCTCTGGATCGCAAGTAGTGTCCTCCGGGGGTCAGCAATCGCAACAGCAATATCCAGCGCCGGAAAGATGGCCCGAGGAGAAACAGTGATCGGAACAGCGTGTGTCTTGTGTATCGTTGATCGATCGAAGAACCGACGAGACGCATGTGTTGTTCCCCCTGGAAGAGTTTCAGGGGTGAGAATAGAGAAACGAAGAAAGAAGGGTCGACGAGAGTAGTGGATGCTGGCAATCTCTATTTTCGTAGTTGACCCTGAGGAACTCGTGAAAGATAGGTTAAAAAAATTTTGTCAGACAACTATGACCTCGCAATAATGTTCGTAGTAGATGTGTATATATTACGCGTAGGAGTATGTAAAATTGTATAGGGAAAAGCACAAGAGTCCGTTTCTCTTCCGTCTCTAAAGATGAAGTTTGAGATGGTTCTTTTCTACGGTATATTTTTTCTTCGTCCCGTTTTTTTAAATTTCTTTTTTTACCATTTCTTCGATAGTTAGGATAAGAGAAGACGTAGGTGGCGAATAGGCAAGAGGAGGGTTGAAAGAGGGTGCTGATACGAGGATTGGCCGACCTATTTTCGTATTGTACCGCAGTGCGCAGCCAATCCTTCGAGGCAGCGATAAGTAAGCCCTCGTGATTGGCCAGCGGAGTGAGACTGAGAGAGAGGGAGAGAGAGTTCTTGAAATTCTCATTGAAATTCTTATCGGCATAAATAGCCGTGGAGTGAGAAAGAAGGATGCGTCAGCCTCGTTTCTGCGAAAAGAGAGAGTCATTCACGGGGCAGAGAGAACGTCGATAGGGCTTGTATTCAACCCCTTTTGAGGATTCGCGGTCTTTAAGGGGAGAAACCGAGCGCGAATTCTAAGGAGAAAAAAGAGCTGAGAACTGGTTGAAAAATACCGTTCTAATGAAATCGAATTTTACCCACGAATATTTCTCCTTATTTCACTTTTTTCTTCTGTTGTTTCTTTCTGAAATGAATCGAACATTTCTCCCCTTGTTCCAGTAGCCGACGTTATATTTTTCTCTGGTCTTTGTCGGTGTGGCGATTAAATCGACCGAATTGCATGCAAGATATATTATACGAAAGCGGGACGAATTATTTCCGTGGTGTACATGTATGTATGAAATTCAGGACACTGATATTCGCTTGTCTTCTAGCGTATCTTTGTATATATATGGTGCTTTTAAAATATTGACACGCGTTGTTAAAGCCGGTGGTAGCCAAAAATGCATCCCGCGTTTCCATTTGCTCTCTGTCGCTTTCTCATCTTGACGCGTCACATTCCCTACAATCGTGTGTGTGTGTGTGTGTGTGTGTGTGTGTGCGTGCGTGCATGCATGCAGTTTTCAGGCACATGTGCAACTGCCAAACAGAGAGACGTACACACGTTCACACGTCGAATGCCCGCGCACATTTAGGCTCACAGAATTACGAGGCAGAAAGAGATAGACTGGCTTGTATTGATCTCGAGGATTCAACAAACAGCACCCAGTGCCCCCCGCTCTCTCTCTCCATCCTCTCCAACTTTACCTTACTCTTCCACCCTCGACTTCACCCTATCTCTCGTTTCGTTCGCCACGTATTCCATAGGATTCGACTCGTCTCTTGGATAGAGTTTGATGAGTTCGAGCAGGGTTCCTCCCCACCTAGCTAGGCGATAGTTTCTGAGCAAGCTTGTAGCAGATGTACCACTACCATTGCCGTTCTTTACTTTTCACTGCGAATTAAACGTGGCAAGATCAACTCCTCCGGTGCCGAATTTAGTTGCTCTAACAATTAGAGAAATCAATCTTTTCGCAGAAAATTCAATTCTAAAGTTTGAATAATGTTCTGAAATGACCTAAATGTGCCGTTTAGTCTAGAGCAGTGATTAGCAACCCGCGGCCCGTCCACTTCAATCGTTTAAAAGTGAAAATTTTTATTCATTTCTTTCTATGTCGAAAATTAAAAAATTCCACCCTGTAAATTAACGATTTCAAAATGAATAAATTAGGTCATTTAAACGACGTAGTTGCAGCAGCGGTTTGCACGAATTATTGGGTTTTCAATAGTGCAAAAAGAGGGGTTGTTCATCACTGGTCTAGAGTAACATAAATCAAGGAATAAATAGGCACGGCTAAGTCCACACCATTCAAGGATCGAATTGTCCGTCGTTAATGGTGTGTGTGCGTCAGTGTCGAGCCATCAGATGAGCGTTTTTCGAGGGTAAGGAGAAGAAAGTTGTACGGGACACGCGATTGCCCTGGCCCTAGTGGGCACAAACCACGCGATGCTAGCTCACGATCAGCCTATCACCCTCATTGCGAACCCCTGGCAAAACAAACCCTGCCGGCTTATCCAATTCCACGGCATTTCCACGAATCTCTTCCATCTCCTGTCCGTCCTACCCAACCTGACGCTCGTAGTTCCGACATAAATGGAGGTGGAGACTCGCATTTGTTCCAGCCACCCCTTCTCTCCCTCTCGTTCGCACTGCATGCCTCTCCTCTCTTTCTTCTCTTTTTCTTTCCCATCTTTCTCTTCTCTTCCTCTTTTTCTATCTTTCCCTCTGACCCTTCCTCCACACTTCTCTCTGCGTTACAGCCTGTGCTTTCTCCGTTTTTACCTTCGGCCCGCAATCCCTGCCATTCAACCGGTCGGTTGGCTCGTCGTGTTCTTATTCCGTGGCGTGAAACTGCGTCACCTTTGAGTGTTAGCTAAAACGCTCACACTAAAAGCACACTCGCCACTTCGGTTACACCGGTAGAACGAGGAAATTGTTCCACTTCCTGTTAGAAAAAAAAAAAAAGGAACAACGGCTGACATATGTATTTTTCCTTTTTTCGTTCTATTCTCTTTTTTTTTTTTTTTTTTTTTCTAATGGAAGTTGGTTATTTTTATAATCGGTCACGTGTGTAATACTAAATTTAGCGAATGCCTGGGGAGCAAGCGTGCCGAGGATATTAGATACGTGGAGGGTTCAAGAGGCAGTCTCGAAAGTTGTGTCGAGGAACTTTTCTCTATAGTTTCCTACGTTTTCTTTTTTTTTCTTTTTCGTGGGGAGAGTATCCGGAGACCGGGAACATTGCAGTTTTGCAGACCAATGGCTCGTGGTAAAGAAGAATTATACTATTCTAAAACAAACTTTCCAGTCGAGACTGAAAAAGTTATCTTCCATTCGCACCGATAACGAGAATTCATTTTTAAACGAATCATATTTATGCCAAACAGAGAGACGTACACACGTTCACACGTCGAATGCCCGCGCACATTTAGGCTCACAGAATTACGAGGCAGAAAGAGATAGACTGGCTTGTATTGATCTCGAGGATTCAACAAACAGCACCCAGTGCCCCCCGCTCTCTCTCTCCATCCTCTCCAACTTTACCTTACTCTTCCACCCTCGACTTCACCCTATCTCTCGTTTCGTTCGCCACGTATTCCATAGGATTCGACTCGTCTCTTGGATAGAGTTTGATGAGTTCGAGCAGGGTTCCTCCCCA